AACAACCCATGGCTGAGCTGGAAGGCAAACTATTAGCCTTATCAAAAGTTATGGATGGGTACAGGCGCTCCTTTGAATATATTCAAGATTATTTGAAGATTCATGGTTTGAAGATCTTGCAAGAGGAAATCACACGAATTATTAACTACAATGTGGAAAAGGAATGCAATGCGTTTTTACGAAATAAAATACAGGATTGGCAGTCGCGGTATCAGAGCCAGACTATACCCATACCAAGCTTTCCCCCCTTACAGGGTGACGCTTCGAAATCAAATAATTTCATCGGTCGTTTGGCAAACGAAATACTCCAATGTACGGATCCCAAGCAAACAATATTTCTAGAACTGAAAGCAACCTGGTATGAGAAACGTGCACCACACAAGGAAGTACTAAATGCATGCTTCTTTGGCAAAGTACGTGAAGCGATCGGACCTGCAGGATTGGTGGGCTTGGATAGACTGTACTCTTATATGTTTGCGGCTGATCTAAAGCAGAATCTGGAGAAGATGCAAAAGAACCTATCAAGTGATAATATGTGGGTGGAAGCGCTTAAAAGCCTGAGTACGGAATTGGAATCAAAACATTTCCCGGGTACGAATGCGGCAAACCCATCAAAATTCTATTTCAACTACTACAATCGCTGGATAAAAGTGTGGCCGACGTTGTTGGAATGGTTGCTCAATTTGGGTCATAAGCAGACATTGCGACAACAACTGGCATTCGAATTGAACAGGAGCAGCAAATGCAATTCGAAAAATTTAGAATCAGCTCTGGAAACATTCAACAGGTAAAAAGAGTATCGGGGAAAAATTCCGATAAAGCGCCTCTGTTTCTTGTGATAATTTAGACTTCCATAATTTTTCGACGTTTAACATTTAAGTAAAAATTATTATACATAACTTATGTAACATACATAAGTACATATTTAAATTTCTAATGTTGCAGGGCATTGTTGAATGAATTGGAACAACCAGCTGTTTATACAAAGTTCATCGATTCCGAGGGTGGCAGCCAATTGCTCATTGAGTTCAACGAGTACTTAGCATTCACGGGTTCCTACGAACCGCTTGAGCAAGTTTTTCTTTCTACCAAAAGTACTCATCACGTAGCACTGTTTTTATTTTTGTTTACAATAGCACATCTGCCACGACTTCAATTTACCCTGAACACGAATAGCTTGCTAGCCAAAAACGCCAAAGACAATATAGACGGCACTCCTCTGTTGGTCGGATTATTGACTGTTTTGCAGCAGTTCCACAAGGAGGTGAAGTTTTTGTATTTGACCTATCTTTGCCAATATGCCACTGTGATAGTGGAGTCGAATATCAGGTAAATGAGCTGTCAATATTTAACTTCATCTCATGAAAATTAAAGTGACACTCTTTCTAGCACGAAAAGCGAAATCAGCATGGAAGGAACAACAGTGTTGCATTTCCTCGAAACATTTCTTAGGTTAGCCAAGCTACCGCGATCTGTTTTGTCCGAACGATGTCCCACCATTATACTAAATCAATTTGATTATTTAGCTTTAAGCAACAAAACTTGAGTATTATTTATAATTGTTTAAACCTGTCGTTGTTTATAGCAAACGCAAACTTGTTTATTCTTGTTTATTAACAAATAGTATTAAATTAAAAAAGGATCAAATTATAGCACTGGCATCGCTGACGATTTACGACTGATAACTTTAACCATTGTAATACGTTCTACGTTATAATTTGTTAGGCGGTATAGCCGAAATTAGGCACATGCTGCTTTTTTAAATGTTTCCTTATGTAATGACTGTGGGTGCATTGCGTCCGGTAAACTT